AATTTAGCTGTTTTAGTTTTCTCAATAAAAAAAGAGTATTATGTTCTGAGAAACTCTTTAAGGAAATAAATTGCGTTTGTTTTCCTTGCAATATTGATTTCATGTTTGGTGAATTGAATGCTATGTCTGTTTGCTATGTTAGTCACCTAGTTATACCCTTTAGTGTATACTTCTTAGGAAAACAAAAGTGTTTAGTCAATTTAACTATTTTAGGTTTCTCAAGAAAACAAAAATATTGGGTGAACTTGGCTATTTGGTAATCTAGGTGATACATGTACTTTCTCTGTTATTAAACTGTTTAGAGTAGTAAGTATAGAGTTTTCTTTCACTTGGTTGCATTTCCTAGTGCTGAATGTTTTCATGCATTTGTCTTTACTCTTAGGAAGTTGTTTGATTTGTTTGTGGTTATGCTTCCTACATTTGGTACCCAAGAACAATGTGGAAAGGGAATGAGATATAATTGCTTGCTTGAATTTGTTCAGTTGCTGAAAATCCCTTGGAAATTGTAAATATATTTGCAAACTTTATTCCTTCACTTTAGGCATCTGCTAGAATTGATAAGGTTATAAATTTTTATGTTAAATTCTTCATTTTTGAGAAATTTAATTGCTTGACACAAAGAATTATTGTTATGATAAATTGGTTGATTACCATCTAATCTGGTACCTTCTAGTTAGTAGAAGCATTGCTGTTACTGCTGCAAGAAAGTGAAAAGCTGAATCTTCTTCTATCTTATCTGGTACCTTTTAGTTAGTAGAAAGGCTGTAGTTGCTGCTACAAGAAAGTAAAAACATGAATCTTCTTCTAATCAGCATTTTCATTGTATAGTATTTTTGTTAGTGGAAGTTGGCAAAAGGTTCTTATTTTCACTAATTTCAAATAGTGATTTATATGTATTGTAATATTTGATTTGATTTATTTATTTTTGTTCTAAAGATTTCTTTATGAAAATCTGAATGCAGTCTCAAATTTTGTTTGTTACAGAGTTGTTTTTATCATTGATGACTTGTAGTATTATTGGGGCTTTGAAGAACATTGTTTAAATGTAGACAAATGAAGTAGAGGTATCATTGCCATGGGACAAGTAAAGGTTTTTGATCTGATGCAGGATGGCAACCAGGCATTTTGAGCCAACTGTTCTGAGGTAAAGTTTATACTTTTATATGGTTTCATTGCACTTTCTAGACTTTATGAATTCTTTCCTCCTGTTTGGTTTGATGTCTTGCTGTTCCAATTACCTGTTTATGAAACAAATAACAAATTTATTTTTTTATGAGAGCGGGAGGGGTGGGGAATACAGTAATGGAGTTACTGCATATCTTGTGTGTTTTTCACTCAGTTATTTGCTTCTGATTATATCTTGATATATTCTACTATTTTTTGCCAAAAAAATGTAAGGAGGAATATATTTTGCTTCTGATTATGGTGTTATCTTGTATCATTTCAATCTCCTTAATGTGGTATGTTTTGTTACAATATGTTTGAGTTGAGGGAAATGAAGGGGAGGGGAGGGAGAAAAAAATTCTTTATTTGGTTATTAAAAAAATTGGAGGGGAGAGGAGGGGGAAATTTTCTTTTACTTCATTTTTTCGTTTAATTTAGTTTCTTATCCAAATAAAGGAAAGGGAGGGAAGGGGACTGGAGGGGAATAAAAGGATATAATTCTCCTCCCTGCCCTTCCTTTCCCCTCCCCTCCCCTCCATTTACCTCAATCCAAACATGGGTTAGTATCATGAATATTTTTTCATCTTATTCATTCTCGGCAATCTCATCACTCTCTAGTAATCACCAAACTAGCACATCATGTTTAGATGATGTTCACATGAACCCTATCCAGAGATCACCTTTACCTCTTCTTCACTCTCTGGACAATTTTTTTTCTGTTTCTTTGAAATGATAAAGTAATGAGTACAGGAATTACAGGTTGGGTGCTGCATGAAGCTGACATTCACTGCAATACAGAATGTATGCAGAAGGCACAAACAATTAGGGATTCTAAGTACAACGTTCGTAATATCAGATCCAATGATGGTGGTATTATTGTTGCTAGGTATCTTGGTAATGAAATCTAGAACACTGCTTTAGGCAGGTTTCTCTTCAGGTAATTTCCCCTTTCTACTCATTTTTCTGTGTGCAGGTGTCAGAGTTGGCAACACAGCCTGTGTGAAGCTCTATAAAAAATCTTAATTCTTTTTGTAATTTAGCCATTAATCATCTTAAGTAATTTTAGGCTTTTAACTAGATTTGTAAGACTTTTATTTGGGACTTGTAAATGGCCTTCATTAATTTTTGGAATTTCAAATTTTATATAAAATTTTTAGCTAGTAAATTAGCAGTATGCTGGGATCATTTACTTATAATTTATTTTTTGTTATGCATGTCTGCTTAATAAAAAATATGGCCCTTTAAAAAGTGTTCTTAGACCTACCTGAGGATCACGGTTAAAAGTTTTTGTGCATTGTGTGGAACAATCAGGCACGACACGTGGGCCATCAATGTTTATCGAGATCTATGGTGTTAACCCTGAAAACGAACTGATTTTGGACATTTAGCCCATGCATGGCCCAATTACTATTGTAATTCGGCTTTGTATAAGGCCAACTATTGAAGCTATCAAGGCCCATTGAGAAAAGTTCACATTAAGCCCATGTAGTTAGGTTAATTGCCCATTTAAGTCCGTTTAATGAGGCATTTGGAGCCTGCATGAGCCCAATCCATAAGTGAACAGGTTGTTAGGCCCACAGAAAATGGGTAACATGGGCCAGAAGGCATGTGGACATATTTTTGGGCCATTGGGTCCAGTACTTTTGGGCCGTCTATAGCCCAATCTGTTTAGAAACTGGGCCTTGAGGCCCATTGTGAACTATGCCATTTGGGTATGAAAGGGTCCATTAAGACATTTTTGGGCTCACAAGCCCAATCCATAAAGTCAACTGGGCCTGGAGGCCCACAAAAAATGGGGTCACGTGGGAAAAAGGTCTGTGGACATATTTTTGGGCCTACTATAGCCCAATCTATCTAGAAACTAGGCCTTGAGGCCCATTTTGAACTACACCATTGGATCCTTTTGGGCCCCATAAGCTTGATCCATAAAGTCAACTGGGCCTAGAGCCCACAAAAATAGGTTACATGGGCCTAAAAATGTATGTAGACATATATTTGGGTTATTGGGCCCAATACTTTTGGGCTGCTATAGCTCGATCTGTTTAGAAATTGGGCCTTAAGGCCCATTCTGACCTATGCTATTTGGGTATGAAAGGGTCCATTTACACATTTTTGGGCCCAATCAAGACTAATCCATTGAACCAATTAAGCCTCCATTACCCTTAACAAATCGACCTTTAGGCCAGTTTAAGCCCAATCCTTTGATGCTTAAGAACTAAGGGCCTTGTAGACCTTTCCGATTATTATTAAGTGTTATATCATTTAGGCCTAGACAAACCCATCGAGAAACTTTTTGGGCCCTTGTAAGCCTGATCCATTTCGTTGAATGGGCTCCTTTTAATATTCAACCCCTTGAACTTTGGTCATTTGAACCTGAAGGGCCCGCTGATAATTTTTTTCTAACCACGAGCCCATTCAATTTTGCAATTTGGATCGACAAGTAGTGATGATTAACACAATGAAATAGTCGTTTAAATACATAGTTTCTTTCCAACAACCTACTTCGATCCAATGATATAAGCCTTGAGTTAAGGTCATCCACTTCTTATGAATCACGTGTTCAAACCCCACGAAACCACTTTTCCTAATTACTCTGTAAATAATTTTAAATCTGTTAAAAAAAATATATATATATATGTACAGTTTCTTTCAAAATCATACGCCATAATAAATGAATTTATCAGACTCTTGAAACGTTTTAAGATAACAACTTTTTTTAACATCGCTAGACAAAATGAAAAGATAAAAGCCGAATTCTAAATTTCGATAAAATTATATATTACTTACTGTTTACATCATAAATTGCAAAAATTTAAGATAATGTCACGTGTAAAACTTTTTAAACGGATGGAGGAGATTAACTTCAAAAAGGAGTTCTACTAAGATAACTCCATTCTCTTTAACTTATGGACATGATGTTGTTCTGCCCATAGAGTTATCTGCCAGATCATTACGTATAGCGATTCAGCATGCTTCTAATCTTCAAGGTCTACCAGGGCAGTACATCAATCACGATCAGATCATTGATTTGGCGCAGGAGACTTATGGTCCAAGGTAGACTTCGTAACCAATTCTGTAGGAAGGTATCCTTCAGATTTCAAGCCAACCTCCATATCTGCACAAAGCTTGTTTCGTTGTTCTACTAAATTCTTCTCTGTTTGTTCCACAAGAGGAACCGAATTTCTCAACTCTACAAGTTTGGCCTTGAGGTTAGAAATTTCCTCCTTAAGATCTTAGAGATGTTTAATTTGTGTTACATGAACAACTTTCGCTACCAAGAACTTTTCCTTCTTCTTAAAGATAGCGGCAGTGCTATCTGCTACAAATGTTCTAACAGATTCTGCAGCTGCTACCTTGTTCTCTAGTGCTAGGAATTTTCTACTAAAATTTGCATAAATAATAGTGAAATCTTCCCAAAATTTTTGTTGAGTAGAAGGCAGTTGTGGAGCTCGATTAAGGATTTAAGCCGCTTCAAAAGTGGCTGGTTGATCTGGCACTCTACAGAAATGAGAAGGATCACCATCAACGAGCTCTTGTGGGTCAAAATGGAAAAGCTAATATATTCTTGGGTAGGGAGATCGATATCTAGGTTTGTCTCCTCAGCGACAGACTTTCCTTTGCTATCTGAAGCACTATTTGGAGTAGATTCTGATTTTACAGGGAGGTCCATCAACATGTCCAGCTTAGCAAGAAGCTCATCCTCCAAATCATCATCAATCACAAAAATATCAACAACAAAACTCTACAAGAATTTGGAGACAAATTCAAAGATATCAATTGACAGATACAGTGACAAAATTCAAAATCTATACAAATTTCAAAACAGTGAACCAACCTCAATGTCATCAACATCAATTTGCCTAACGAGAGAAGTCACAAGTGTGGGAACATACTCTTTTTCTAAGCTTAGATCAATAAAAGTTCATTCAAAAGATAAGCAAAAAATTTGAAGCATCCCTAAAAAAATTTCTTATTTTCTACGGCACCTCTGAACATTAAGCCGTAGGTAAGCAGATCTTAACCTAATACAACAAACAGAACAAAAGCAAGTGCTAGAAAATAAGAGTAAAGTCATAGTTGCAAAATCCAAAGCGACCCACCACTACTGCCTAAAGGGTAAGTCGTGACACCTTGACAACTTCTATACAAGTAAGCAAGCAGAAAAAGGGCATAGAGCTAAACATCTACCATGAGCTAAAGCGGCGACTAATGGGATAAATTCCTTAGTAGAACCTTTACCAACAAAACAAACCATGTACTTGTAGATTAATGTAAGCAAAAATGAAGTATGTTCTTGAGCACTGGTAAGCGTATTGTGGTCACAAGTAGATCTCACAAAAGCTGGATAAGAGGGCTTTAGATGATCAAAATTAGTGTCACCATAGTAAGTCTCATGAGATGCAGATTTGCTTTGTGTATCCTCTTGTAATAAATTTCATAACAAGCGACCAAAGGAAGAGTAATCACCAAACAAGATAGATTCATGGAAAACTCACCAAAATGAATTACATCTGATGAATTACATCTGATGAATTTTCTACTTTATCTGACACATTAAACTTCACCTTCAAATCAATTTCTTCATTTGATTCCTCAGCCAAAACTCGAGGTAATGTTGAACTTCTTGGTAGTCCATTCTTTTTTGGAGAAGTCTAACCAAATGTGCTTCATTTTTCTTTACAAACCCACACTGATTTTCTTCTCGCTGGGAACGTCTTTCTGCTACCCTTTTGCGTTGTAAGTGCCTCCTCAAGGTCCTTAGATTCTAAACCTTAGGAAATTTTGGATGAAGCAGACGTTCCCACCGTTTGCTTGGAGATCTGGGTGGTTGTTTCACCATTTTGGGCTTTTTTGCGTGTCCAGATATCACAGTCCACTTGCCATTTTAACCACGAGGACCGCATTAGATAACCACTCCACATCTAGAGGTTCTGATGAAACCAATCTTTAATAGCCGCTCTATCTCTTCTTTAACTTTCAAAGTGGCTTCTGGAGATAGTTGTCTGAGCAACTACTTAAAAAGTTTAACGTCTTCTTTAATTGATAATCTGTGCTCTACTAGATTTCTATCCAGACTTGGCATCTCCTCCCCCACTCACTAAAAAATTTGAGGAAAAAGATGTTATAGAGGAAAGTGGTGAACTGGAATCTGTTGTGGCTACCTAGCCTAAAAAACCAACTTTGCCAAGGAAAGCTCTTAAAAGGAAAATTGCCACTCTTGTAGATTCTACAGAGGAGTATACCCCTTCAAAGCAATGAAGAATTGGAGGTAAATCTGCTTTGGCTTACAACTTTGTGATATGTTTTCTACTAACTTTCTTTACTTTTCTTTCTTTTCTTATCTTTTTTAAGGATCGAAAGGTCAGTAGTGAAACCCTTTATAGCCAAGAATCTCATCAAATCTACATCTCCATTAGAATCCACTTCTGCCACAGAAATTCAAAATCAACCTACCAAAGCAGAAGATATTTCTTTCAAGCCCATTGCCACAACAAATCCTGTTGAAGAAAAATCTACAAAAAATGGCGAAGGCGATTTAGGCTCCTTTCATACAAAATCTGACAATGGTTCTTTATAAACCACAAAAGTTAGAGGTTCTAAATTCTCTTTGCACATAGCTAATAAAAACTTAAACAGTTAGATCGAATGAACTTATTGATCAAAGCCCAGAAAAAAAGTGTTCCTACACCTGTGGCTTCTCCCATTAGGCAAATTGATGTTGATGATATTGAGGTTATTTCACTGTTTTGAAATCTGTATAAATTTTAAATTCTGTCACTATATCTACCAACTGATATCTTTGAATTTTTGTCTCCAAATTCTCATAGAGTTTTGCTACTGATATTTCTGTGATTAATGATGATTTGGAGGATGAGTTTCTTGCTAAGTTGGACATGTTGATGGACTCCCTTGTCAAATCAGAATCTGCTCCAGATAACAAAGGAAAGTCTGTCGCTGAGGAAACAAACCCAGATATCGATCTCCCTACCCAGGAACAAATTAGCTTTGCCATTTTGA